ACCCCCAGCACTGCTCCTGGGCGGGTGGGAATGGGAGCGGTGCTGGACCCCGCCCCGGCCAAAGCCAGCTCACCACATTGCCTGGCTGGTCCCTAGGGCATCTCCCAGCTGCCCCACATGGGGTGGGGGACCAAGTGGGGCACAGGTGCTGGCAGAGGGTCTCCCAATGGGTGCTACCCTTACCTGGCAGGGCAGGCAAGGTACCCCCGGGGCTGACAGAGGACCAGCTTTGGCGGGCAAAGTACATCTATGACTCGGCTTTCCACCCTGACACGGGCGAGAAGATGCTCCTCGTGGGACGCATGTCTGCCCAGGTCCCCATGAACATGACCATCACCGGTTGCATGTTGACTTTCTACAGGTACCTGTTCCCTCTTCACCCCAGGGCCAGGAGGGTGCCCGGGGTGGGGGTTCCTCAGGGGCTCTTCACCCTCTCCTGGCCCTGGAGTGACGAGGGGACACATGTCCCATACCCCGCAGTATACCTGTGCCATAGGAGCACAGGTGGCATCCCCCAGTGCCACCAGCATCCTCCTCTCTCTGGTAGGACCACACCAGCTGTGCTGTTCTGGCAGTGGGTCAACCAGTCCTTCAATGCCATCGTCAACTATACCAACCGCAGTGGGGATGCACCCATCACCCCCAGGTAAGCATCTCTCTGACCATGGTCCCCAGGGCACCCCAAAATGCCAGGGGGGTGCCTTGAATAGCTTTGAAATGGGACAATGGGGACCTGGCACAGCTTTAGATGGACACCAGTGGGGCTTTCGGCATTAGTGGTAGAGCTGGGAGAGGAACTCAGGTGTCCTGATGATACTGAAGGGCACGCTGTCTCCTCCTTTGGGGGCAGTGGTGGAATGGGGGGACCCTGGCTTACCGATATCGCCTCCTGTTCTTGCAGCCAATTGGGGACAGCCTATATGAGTGCGACCACAGGGGCAGTTGTCACAGCACTGGGGCTCAAATCTCTCACCAAGGTAAGGTGGCCCTTGGCCATCACTGTCTGGGGCACCTGGATCCTTGGGGTCTCCCTGAGCTCTGAGCTTAGCAGGGGATTCACCCCATCACCTGGGGCAGGGGAGAAAACAGAGGAAGGGGGTTTCCTGGAGGCACCCACAGAAGACAGCCTCTCTTCCCAGTGTTGGCTTTGGAGATGGCCTGCACTCCTTCCCCAGCTGGATCTCTCCAGGCTTCTTTCACCACTTGGCCTCCCTCCAGGGCTGGGGGGGGACATGGGACCCCTTGGAATCCCCAGGCTGTACGGATTTCACCAGCTGGGAGTTGCAGGGGAGAAGGGAATGGTTTTTCCTGGTGGGGCTGGGACACCGCAGGGTTTTGCAGAGGGGCAGTGGCAGACCTGGGGATAGCCAGCTCTGTCCCTAGACCCTCTGTGTGACATGCTCCCTGCTTGCCCTCCCAGCACTTGCCAGCCATCATCGGAAAAATTCGCGGCCGTGGCTGCTGCCAACTGCATCAACATCCCACTGATGAGGCAGAGGTGAGCCCCTGGGCTGGGCTGGGGTGCTCGGGCTCATGTCGGGGTTCACCAGGCACTGGTAGGGGACATGAGGAGCAGTGCCCTGGGCTTGTAGGG